CCCACAGTTTAGTAAACACATAGAGTAGCAGGCAACAAAAAGGACTAATTGCGAGAAAATTAAAAAAGATAAAATAGGGGGAAAATCAATTATAGACACACTCCAAATAAAACATATATGCAGTGTGAGAGCATATAGGAACAAAACTATTAATTCAAAAGATAAATTCTCTTATCTTGAAACAGATTATATCACAGATGCAGAATATTACACTGGCAAAGATGAAGAATTGTCAAGATCTGATGAATGTAAGGATATTGAAGTAGAGGGGCACCAAATTAGGTAAAGGAACACATAAAAACTCAGCTTTAGACATAGGAATATTCACAGGTATTTCATAGGACACATTAGACAAAGACACCCTAAAATATTCATGAAATCAACAAAAAGAATTAGAGAGTAATGAACCTGTAGACCTTACCACCAAAGATGATGGCAAAATTAATTTTGAAGATGGATGATCTATTGTGGATGTGTGTTGGAATGTCAATGTCGTCTTGATCAGTATCAGATTCTAATTCTGGTTCTGGGTCAAGTTGAGTTAGCGTGGGCGATGGCGTAGGCGACTCTAGATCTAGTTTAGGAGTTTCAGAACGGTTTGCATCACGTTCTGTCACTAACTCAGGTTGTGAAACTTCAACAATATCATTCGGTTGATCATCAATTACAACATTTGTAGACTTCATGATGGTCTTGGTCACTTTGTTGTATATACGATATGCACTGCTGTTGCTTGAATAACCTGGAAAGATCCCCTCGTCGCTTTTTAGTTCAAATTTTGCAACTGGATTTCTATCCTTCAAAATAAAACATCATGAGCCAAAAATGTGAAAGTATTTAATATTCGGTTTCTTACCTTTCCATAATTCATACGGTGTTTAACTTGTGTCTGGCCGAAGATAGACTCGGTTGGGGATGTGACATGCGGTGTTTACAGCTTCTGTCCATAATTTTTGAGGTAATCCTTTGGCGTTGAGCAGGACTCGTCTCATTTCTTGAATGGTGCAGTTTTTTCATTCAACGACTTCGTTTTGTTGAGGTGTCTTTGGTGCTGAATACTCGTGGGTAGTTCCTGATTGATTGCAAAAGGAATCGAACAAGTTGTTGTAGAATTTCCATCTGTGATCACTTTGAATTCAAATAATAGGTTCATTTCTTTCCTTTTGGAGTTTCAGTCCCAGTGTTTTGAAAGCTTCAAGTGCTTCGAATTTTTCCCTGAGAAAGGATACCCATGAAAAACGTGAAAAATCATCAACACTTACCAGTATGTATTTCTTACCTCCAAAACTCTCTGTTTGAGTAGGACCAATGAGATCCATGTGGATCAGTTCTAGGCAGTGACTCGTGTTTATGGTATGTTGAGCTGGATGAAATGATTTGGTTTGTTTCCCAGCTTGGTAGGCACCACAAATGGTTGATTCGACTTTCATCTTGGGTAAACCACGAACACCTTCTATCTTCATTAGTTTATCAAGTAGTCTGTAACTCAGATACCCCAGTTTTTGGTGTCATAGCTCAGCTTCATCTATGCTGGTCCTGCAATAGACGATATGTTAGTTAGAATATAGCAATTGTCAATTGACCTTTTACCTTCCATAACGCATTGATTTGTTTTGTCCAGGACACTGCAGTTATTTTTGGTGAAGCACACGTTCGAGTTTTGGTCACATAGTTGACTTATACTTATGAGATTTGCGTGAAGTCCACTGACTAGCAATACTTTTTCTAGTTTTGGCAGGCCAACTACATTTAGCGTGCCTATGCTAGTGACCTGACCTTTAATATCGTCACCAAAGGTAACTTCACCTTTGCCGACATTTGTGTTACTTAGGAATTTGGCATTTCCTGTCATGTGACAGGAACAGCCGCTGTCAAAGTACCATTTCTCTTCTCTTCCTTCACTTTTAGAGTGAAAAGAGACAAACAAAATATAGTCAGTCTTTTTAACCCAAATTTGTTTTGTAAAGGGTTGGATGTTCTTGTGTCTGAACTTCTCGATTCTTTGATCCTTGTAGAAGTAGTAGCATTCGGGTCTGGTATGGCCGCGCAACCTGCAATAATGACATACGGGGTTATAGAGTTTGTAATGTAGCTTATTTGATCTTACTATACCATGGGTACGTTTCGTTGAGCTGGATTCAGGAATGTCCTCTGGATCAGGTCTAGACGCTTGGACGAATACCGTTTTATCCTTTGAGTTGCTTCCGGTGAAACCCAAACCATATTTTGCAGATTTTTTTCTTCCAGAATCAAGGATTCTGTCAAGTGTTGAAGTGGTGTCCATCATTTGGATCTGCCGTTTATAGGTGCTTAGCTCCTGCTTCAGGGTCTGTACTTCTTGTTTTAGTTTTTCTTCTCGGTCGGCCGCTTCCTTAAGCAGTACATCCCTATCGGCTATTTGAGTTTGATACACTTTGCTAGCATTTGTTACAATCTCTATCTCACTAGCTAATTTACGATTTGCTTTTCGTAGGGCTTCTCATTTGGGATACAACTTACTAAACTCAACTTCAAAAGATAAAGCATTTAGTTTTAAGTCTTTCGCGGAGACATATTCACCACCATCTGAGTCAGCTCTTTCAACAGATTCTGAACAGCCAGCAACACGTGCAGTAAATGCAACAAAGTTACCCGAGATTTCTTCTACATCAGATCCAGTTGTTTCAGCGTCAGGCTCGTCGTCACTCTAGGTAATGGCTGACATAGACTTTTTGCGTCTAAGATAGGTGGCACACTCTGCTTGTATATGTCCAAAGCCTTCACATTCATAGCACTTGATTCCTTTATTGTTAGGTTTTTCTTTGGATTGTCCTGGATGTGAGACAGACTGCTTGAAGTTTGACAAACCTGTCTTGGGACCAGCTTTGGACGATGTTGCTCCTCTTTGTGGATTTCTGTTGCGTGAATTTGTTGATACCTGTTTCAAAATTTTAGAGAACTGTTTAGTCAAAAAAACAACTGTATCATCGCCTAATTCGTCTGAATCAGATAAAACGTTATTTCCTTCAGCGGCAAAAGCTACATTTTTTTGTTTTTTCGTTTTCGTGTGATCCTTTAAAATTTCCATTTCATAGGTTCTAAGATTTCCCATTAATTGAGTAACAGTTTTGTTCTCCTAGCCGTCGTGTTCCTAAATAGCTGTGACTTTCATTCTGAACCACAGTGGTAAGGACTTCAGAATTTTTTTAACAAGTTTTGCTTGTGGGAAAGGTTCACCGAGGACCATCGCACGATTCGCCAGTTCCTGTACGCGTGTGTGAAAGTTCGTGATGGTCTCATCCTCATTCATCCGAAGCTCTTCAAAGTTGGACTGGACCAGTTGCAGCTTTGATTGTTTCACTGACGTAGTTCCTTCGTAAGTTGACTCAAGAGCCTCCCATGCACCTTTAGCTAAATCAATACCTGCAACTATAGAAAACTGAATTTCATGCATAAGGGAAGAAATCGTATCTAAGGCCTTATCGTTATATCCAGCATTAGTTAATTATTTCAGTTTGGGACCATTCGGTTTCAGGTTTAGTTACTCGTGTTCCATCATCACTGGTACTGGCTTTAGTCGGATGAGTCCAACCTGTCACCACGGGCCGCCATACTGCATCACCTTGAGCTTTTAGATGTGTACGTGTGCAAGCTTTGCAATAAGCGTAGTTATTGCCGATTAGCTGGGGAAGAACCTTAACACGATCCATTCTGTAACACTCAACAACCCGTGAGATTGAACAAATTAACAGAATAAAGAAAAGCAATAAAAGTCGTTGAAAGCTTGAGTTCAAGATGCACGGAGTAGCCAGATCGACAGACTAATAAATTAAGTCTGCAGGCTCTGATACCAATTGAAATTGCACCGTGAATCTTGAATGCAAGATGTAACTTATATTTCTACTTGATTTTATGTTATGCAACAATCATGTTCATTAATTAGACTAGTTAATCAAATGTAAATAGCAAAAATTGAAAGCATAAAACAAAACAATAACACAAGAGAATTGTTACGTAGTTCGGAGCGCTTCTCTTACGTCTACGGGGCAACCCACGTCTGCCCAATCCACTATAGATGTTCACCAAGGAGTATTACAAGAGGTAAGTACAAATGGTTCTCAGCATTTACCACTACAACCCTTCCTAACACCTATTCAGTACTGAACCGTGCATGCCATAACAATCTTCAAGCGAAGCTTCATCTGTACCAGGTACTGTCTCTGCAGTTCAGAATTAAACTACAATAATATAATCAGATTAATTTTATAACTTTATAGAGAATGCTTTCACTGAGAATAGTAGTTCGAAATCAGCAACGACTTTCCTCATTGGGGTGGCTTCCTTTTATAGTAAAATATTAATCCCACTTTGATCCACATAATTAGCATCCCATCCACATAATGAGCATCATATAATCTTCAATGAACCACAACCACACATTTGATTTGGAAGCCTCATTACGTGTACTGTATTGCTGACTTCCTTCATTTTCAATCTTAATTTCACCAATTAATTGTAGCCATTCAAATTAATTATTAGTTGATGGAAAATAGTCCAAAGAGTATAACATAAAGTATTTCACATTAAATAATTCTAATCCTTTAATAATTAAATTAGCCAATTTATATTAAGGGTTTTTTACGTGTATCATTTATACACTTACAGATACCATGTATCACTACTTGTGATTCATTCACTAGCGTGCACTTAAGTGTAAAATCTTTACACTAAGAGTCTTCCTTGATATTCCCTTGCATTTGTGGGTGATTGTTTAGAAAAATGCAAGCCAAGAAAAATTTTGTGGGTTAGCATTTATTATAAATATACAGTATGGCGTTTATATTTACTTCAAGATTGTCTAGTCTCTTTCATGTGTACGTCCAATTATTACTCTAATGATGTGTAAGTTCTCATTCCTACTCCGAATGCTCAGAGACAGGGATTGTTGTGTTACTTTTCGAGTGCACGAATACTGTTATTGTGAACCGATAGCGACGAATTTACTTCTATAACAGTGATTATTCCATGACATAACATTTCTTTAAATTCACATTATCAACCTAATTTCACTATCACATAATTACACCACAAAGAAAATCACCATAAATATTATTTAAAACACAGTATACAGCATATTAGATTTACATGCATACACACAAACATATGGCACATATATATTAATTCAAAAGCCAAACTTGACCTTAGAGCAGTCAATGTTAGGGCCAATCTTGAAAGGAATGTTGACACCACATTTGGCCGGAAGCCCAGCTGCCCTGCTAAGCTGTGAGGCGTTGGCATTGGAAGCAATAGACTTCAAGCACGAGCAAGCGCTTTGCCGGTCCGCCGTCGTCTTCGCGGCGCCGACCAGCGTCTTCATTCCACTGCAACATCCCGACGCCACATTTCCACCAAACATAACGTAGTTAAGGCACGCGTTCAGGTCACTGTACACCGTGTCACAGGTGATCGCCGCTTCGCCGCCCGGTGCAAGGGCTGCCGCCGCCGCGAGGAGGACCAAGAATGTGAGGTTTAGGTTTCTTGAGAGATCCATTTTAGTAATCTTTGCACTTCGAATATCTCAAGACTTTAATTATTGTTGAGCTTGTACGTGGTTCATGTGAGCAGTGAAATCTTTATATTTATATTTAGAGAGGTGAAAAGGATCCATCACTTTCGTGTATATTTGTTCGTGTTGTCTAATCTGAACATACTGGAGCAGAAGTCACGGCGTGTAATCTCAATAATGACACAATTCTACACCGTTCAACTAACTACTTTGTATTTTTATTGGAGAAATGTTCCGCAAATTACGTGCAAGTTACGTTGAATTCAGTAGGAAAAAAAAAAATACATGTTTATTTTAAACAAAGATGACATTCATGGCAAGCTAATGACTCTATTTGGCACACCTAACTAAAAATAGCTAAAGCGTGAAACTGAAAAGTTAGTAGCTAATAAATTAACTAATTGAAATTAAAGTATTTTGTAAAATTAATTGTTGAATTAGCTTATTAATTAGTGTAATAAGACAAAAAATAATAATAATAAAAAATAAACTATATATGATATTAAGATTTTGATTAATGAAGGGTCGATGGTGTCATTAGGACTATTGAGAGAGAGTTTCTTCTCATAGCAGATAGTGATGGCAGCTGAAAATTTTGTTCAACCTACAATTCCTCGTTTTGATGGTTACTACAACCATTGGAGCATGCTGATGGAGAATTTTCTGAGTTCTAAAGAACTTTGGTGTGTTATTGAGACTGCAGTTGCGGAGCCAACTACAGGGATGCCAGAAGAGCATCAGACAAGATTGGAGGTGTTGAAACTGAAAGATCGCAAAGCAAAACATTATCTTTTTCAGGCCATTGAACGTCCAATCTTGGAGACAATTCTTTGCAAAGTGTTGGAGCATAAAAATAAAACTCCACTCTCGCATAGGGCATAGGGCTTTATTGTCTTTTCCTAACCTAATCTTTCTATTCAATGCCTTCATCTTCCCTTTAATAAACCAACGTGTAAGCTGACTTGTGGACTGAAATAATACAATCTTCTTCTTCTTCAATCTGCTTTTTATTCTCTCATTCATTCATGTAGTCCTTTCCGGCATGGTATCAGAATGGCGAGGCTGCTACGCCACCGCTGCTATCAGCGCTGGAGAACCGAATCAAAGAAAGGCTCATACGACAACGTCGATTGCTCAATCCCTAGTTCGCGCATCGCCGATCAATCTACAGAGGATTCCGATCAATCCGTAGAGGATTCCAATCGATCCACAGAGGATTATTGCAATGCAGAGTAGCATTAATGCCAATGCTCGATCACCGGTCCGATCAGCATCAGCAACGATTTCGCAGAGGAATCTGAGTTCGAAGCAGTAGACGTCCGTAGCCGATCCGCAGCGGAAGGCAATCCAAGGATGCCCATCGATTCCGATCACACAATCTCCAGTGCAGGTGACCTCCACAGACATTCCGCAGCGGAAGAAAGGAGTTCGTAATCCACACCAAATCTCAGATCTACAGAATGAGATTCTCAGTCTGAAGCAGATGGAGCAGTCCTCCGATCCAGCCACAGCGGCTATGTCTCTCGATCGGAAATTCGTTCAGAGAGCTATTTGTAAGGTCGACCGTGATAAAATTGGGAAGAGCATCGCCGGAGTTGGAGCGGAGGACCTGGTGCAAGCCGGACTTGCGCCGGAGGAAGTGGCGTTGCTGGAGGCAGATATCAAGGACGCCGTTTCTGCACTAAAGAGAGGACTAGAGGCATTGTAGGAGGCAGAGCTCAAGGCATCCATAGACATTCCGCATCGGCTATGGATATGGGACTCCATGCGAAGGTTCTACGAAAACAAAGAGGCAGCAGCTTCAAGCACTTCGTACAGAGTTTGAAACACTCCGCATGAAGTCAGGAGAGTCAGTTACAGAATATCTCTCTCGTACAACCGCAATTGTCAACAAGATGCGAAATCATGGTGGAAAAATAGAGCAAGCTGATATTGTTGAAAAGGTTCTTCGATCCATGACACCGAAGTTCAATTTTGTTGTGTGCTCTATAGAGGAAGCTAACAATGTTGAAAACCTTTCCTTGGATGAATTACAGAGTTCTTTAATGATTCATGAGCATAAATTTATTCATCAGGAAAATGATGAATAAGCACTGAAGATCTCAACAAAAAATCATCCATCATCGAGGGAAAAAAAAGGACATGGCAGAGGTAGAGGTAGAGGAAAAGGAAGAAGGCGAGGTGGCCATAATACCTCGACAACCTATAAACCAAGAGACTTGTCAAATGTTGAGTGTTATGGTTGTTACAAATTTTGCCACTATCAGTCATATTATCGCATGAATCTGACTAAAGCAAATAAAGAAAAAACCAACTTTGTAAAAAAAGAAGAAGAGGTATCTCTCTTGCTAGCATGCCATGTGAATGAAGAAACTCAACACATGTGGTATTTAGATACAGGATGTAGCAATCACATGTGTGGGGATAAGACAATGTTTTCTCAGTTAGATGAAACTTTCCAGAATACTGTGAAGTTTGGTGACAATTCCACAGTATCTGTAATGGGTAAGGGAACCGTTACTCTTCAAAACAAAGGCATCACCCACATTATCTCTAATGTTCTTTTTGTTCAGACTTAAAGACTAATTTACTTACTGTGGGTCGGGCCAACTGCAAGAAAAGGGATATGAGATTTCAATCAAGGAAGGAGTATGTAGTATACAAGATGCAAAGTTGGGATTGATTGCTCAGGTTAAAATGACTCCTAACCGCATGTTCCCACTTTATCTCAATAATACTACTTATTCTTGCTTCTCTACAAAAGTAAAGGATGCAACATGGTTATGGAATTTTCGCTATGGTCATTTACATTTTAGCGGTTTGAGAGTTTTGCAGCAAAAAAATATGGTGGAAGGCCTCCCTCAAATTACCGTGCCTCTAGGTGTTTGCGAAGAATGTGTTCTAAGCAAACAACATCGTAATCAATTTCCACAAAAAGGGTCATGGAGGGAAAGTAAGCTGTTGGAGTTGGTTCATTATGATATTTGCGGACCAATAAATCTATCATCTAATGGAGGTAAGAGATATCTACTTGCCTCACTGATGACTTTAGTCGGAAAACATGGGTGCAATTTTTAAAAGAGAATTCAGAAGCATTAGCTGCATTTAAAAATTTTGAAGTGCTTATTGAAAATGAAGTTGGCAAACCAATCAAAGTACTGTGTACAGATCGTGGTGGAGAGTACAATTCTATAGAGTTTGATACTTTCTGTAAAACTCATGGAATTCAAAGGCGGCGCGGCTTACAATAGCTTACACATCTCAACAGAATGGTATCAGTGAACAGAAAAACCGCACTATTTTAAATATGGTGTGAAGTTTTTTGAGGAGGAGTAATGTTCCAAAAATCTCATTGGCCTGAAGCAGTCAATTTGAGCATTTATATTTTGAACAGAAGTCCCACACTTGCTGTTCAAAATATGACACCAGAGGAAGCTTGGAGTGGTCGGAAACCCAATGTTGATCATTTTAGAATTTTTGGGTGCATTGCCTATGCCCGTATTCCAGAGCAACTGAGGCGAAAGTTAGATGACAAGGGAGAAAAAATACATTTTTCTTGGTACTAATCATGAATCAAAAGCTTATATGCTTTACAATCCTATTACCAAGAAAATTGTGATTAGCCGTGACGTGGTATTTGATGAAGATTGTTTCTGGCCTTGGAATAGCAATGTTGTTCAACAAGTTCCAGCGCCAGTTGTTGAAGAAACTGAAGATGACGTGCCTACGGTGGATCCTCACAATCAACAAAATGAAACGTCTTATGAATTACAATCAAAAGTATTATAGAGCCACGCCCACAACGTGATAGAAGATGGTCGATCTGGATGTCAGATTATGAGGTAACTGGCATTGATTCTTAAGATGCATTCACTCATTTTGCTTTATTTTCAGATTGTGATCTCGTTTGAAACTGCTGTGAAAGATATGAAGTGGCAGAAAGCCATGGATGAAGAAATGGAATCAATTGAAAAGAATAATACATGGGAGTTAACTGAGCTTCAACAAGGGCAGAAAGCAATCGGTGTTAAATGGGTTTATAAGACAAAGTTGAAGTAAAATGGAGATGTTGACAAGTATAAGGCTCGTCTCGTTGCTAAAGGATAAAAACAAGAATTTGGAGTCGACTATGAAGAAGTTTTTGCTCCCGTAGCAAGACTTGATACTGTCAGACTATTAATATCTCTAGCAACGCAAAACTTGTAGCCTATTTTCCAATTAGATGTGAAGTCAGCCTTCTTGCATGGTAATTTAGTTGAATATGTATTTGTTCACCAACCCCCTGGTTATATTAAGGCTGGAAATGAGGATAAAGTTTATAGATTAAAAAAAGGCTTTATACGGTTTGAAACAAGCTCCACGAGCTTGGTACAACCGTATAGAATCTTATTTTTTAAAAGAATGTTTTAAGAAGTGTCCATATGAGCACACACTTTTTGTTATGGTTGGTGAAGGGGGGAAGATGCTCATTGTGTGTCTATATGTGGATGATTTAGTTTATACTGGAAATGATAGTGTGATGTTTGAAATGTTTAAGAAGTCAATGATGCTCAAGTTTGCTATGTCTGACCTTAGAATGATGCATTATTTTTTGGGTATTGAAGTGAAGCAAACTGCTACGGGCATTTTTATTTGTCAAAAGAAATATGTGAAAGAAACTTTAGAAAGGTTCGGAATGAAGGGATGCAATTCTGCAAGTACACCTATGGAGACAGGTTTGAAGTTAGTTCATAAAGGTAGGAATGTGGACAGTACTCTTTATAAGCAGATTGTAGGCAATTTAATGTATCTGATTGCAACAAGGCCCGACATAATGCATGCGGGTAAGCCTCATTAGTCGGTTCAAGGATTACCCAAGAGAAGCACATCTGCAAGCAACCAAAAGGATTTTCCGTTACTTGCAATGAACTATTGAATATGGTTTATTCTACAAAAAGGGTGAAAACCCAGTGCTATACGGCTTTACTGATAGTGATTATGTGGGTGATCTTGTGGATAGAAAGAGTACATCAGGCTATGTATTCATGATGGGATCAACAGCAGTTTCGTGGTATTCAAAGAAGCAACCGATTGTCACTTTGTCAACAACTAACGCTGAATACGTATCTGGGTCTACATGTGCTTGCCATGTTGTATGGTTAAGAAATATTAATCTTGAGGAGCTACACTTCAAGCAAATAGGATCTAAGGGTTATTTAGTTGATATCTTTGTTTTTTTTTTTTGATTTTTTTTTTTAATTTGCATTCTATATTTCTCTAATTTTTCATTTTTCTAATTATTTGATATCATTTGACAAATTTAATTTATAGACAAAAATAAATTTTATACACTAATACTAAATCTAGTGTAAAAGGTAGCAAAAGTTTATAAAACATATTACTAAATAAATTATAGTTATTTCAGCCATTTTAGTACATAATTTGATGGGAAAATTGTAATTTATGCACCTCCATAATATGTCAAATATCAATGTCACCCCTGAATTATTAGTGGTGTAAATGTTGCCCCTCAGTTTTCAAAACAGTACATATATTGCCCCTCCCTTACCGTACGGAAGAGGCAATATATGTACCGTTTTAAAAATTGAGGGACAACATTTACACTTGGGAGAGGCAATATATGTATCATTTTGAAAATTGAGGGACAACATTTACACCACCAATAATTCAGGGGTGACATTGATAATTGACAAATTATAGAGAGACATAAATTACAATTTTTCCTAATTTGATTGTAATAATAATAATAATAATAATAATAATAATAATAATAATAATAATAATAATAATAATAATAATAATAATAATAATAATAATAATAATAATAATAATAATAATAATAATAATAATAATAATAACAACAACAACAACAAAAATAACAACAACAAAAATAACAACAACAACAACAACGGAGTATTATTATTATTATTATTATTATTATTATTATTATTATTATTATTATTATTATTATTATTATTATTAAGTTTAATAAAAAAAGTTTTTCAATTTTCAATTTTCTAACTCACCAATTTCAATTCCTATTTATCAAGAATATTGTTCCAATTTTTCACTTACTAAACACGCATTAATTTCTAAAACTTTTTTATATTTGCATAAAAAAATTTTGTGTTAATTTCAAATTAATAAAAATTTTACGAAAAAGGTTTTGAATTATTTCTTAATTAATCAAATTTCAAAAACTTATTTCCTATGTCGGAAATGCATTTCTATCCCAAATTAATAAAATATATTTTGATACAAGACTCGTTTTTCAACTTTTTAACGTTTTTACGGATATGGTTTTTCTTTTCCCTTTTTCAATTCAATGAAATTTTGAATTATGTTCTTATATGGAAATGAAATTATATATAAACCATGAGAATGTTTAATTTTATTCTTTGAATCTTATGAATTGAACATTATGTTTACTTTTTAAATTGATTGTGTGGTAATTGGTGTTCAATATTTATTAGTTATTTGGTGTATTACTTTTATTTATTAGTGCAATATTTTTAATCGCAAAACGAGTAGTAGATAATTAATATTTATGCATAATTAAGAAAAAATATTTGCAGACATATTATTGTAATTAATCACCCATCGGCCCCCCTCCCTTTTATGTGTTTAGTTTGATTAACTATGCCTGACTAAAATTATTTTTAACTCAATTTTTCATAATATTAAGTTTAATATTAATATATAAAATTTATATATTTAAAAATTATATTAAAATTACTATTAAACACAAAAAAAAAAAAAAAAAAAAAAAAAAAAAGAATGAATAAAAGTAATAAAGAAAATAAACAATACAAAGATTGTTGGCTTGACTAATTAATGAATAGTAAATATAAATATGACAGATAAAATGAGACAAAGAGAGTTTAAAAAAAAAAAAAAAACTTGTGATTACATATAGAAAAGAAACATAAATATTATTTTAAATGTAGTATATATACATCATAATGCATGTTCTTAAATTTTACATCCACATACAGGCACAAAGCTAGAATTCACTTATTTAAAACCCAAACTTGACCTTAGAGCAGTCAGTGTTGGGGCCAATCTTGAAAGGAATGTTGACACCACATTGGGCTGGAAGTCCAGCCGCCCTGCTAATCTCTGACGCATTGGCTTTGGAAACAATGGACTTCAAGCACGAGCACGCGGTTTGGCGGTCCGCCGTCGTCGCCGCCGCGCTCACCAGCGTCTTCATCCCACTGCAACATCCCGCCGGCACATTCCCACCGAACATAACGTAGTTGAGGCATGCGTTGAGGTCGCTGTACACCGTGTCGCAGGTGATCGCCGCTTCGCCGCCGTGCGGTGAAAGGGCCATCAGCGCCGCTGCGAGAAGGACCAAGATTGTGAGGTTTAGGTTTCTTGAGAGACCCATTTAAGTAGCTGTCTCTATCTGCAATGTAAATATTGGGGATTGTAGTTCAGCTGGGCATGCATGCAGTGAAAGCTTGTATTTATAAGCAACAAGGTGGGTGGCTGTGGAGGATCGATCATATCGTTTTCTGACATATTTGTTCGTGTTGCCAAAGTTATATACACTACACCACATGTCACGGCATGTAATCTCTCAGTAATGTCAGAATTGTAGTCAGTTCAACACTTCAACTTAACTACTTTCTTTGTTTTTCTTTTCTTTTTCGTTTTTTGAGAAAGTATCCGCAATTTACATACGTTGAATTGACTAGTAAAAAAAAAACACATATCTGATCTATAAAGTATTTGCAAAACTTGTCATTTTGATCTTTTGGTGTTTTGGGACTGCCGCTTGGAGGCCGAGTTCAGCATCCACTTATTGAATCGTGGCATTATGGCTTACCATGCAAAGAAGTGGTTAAATGGTTAATGTTCATCTACATATAACAAATTTGTTTAAGAAACATATGGCAAGAACTTTGTAGTTAAGCGTGCTTGAGTTATAGGATAGGTTCCGTACTGGAAAGTATAGTGCGAGTATTAGTTTTACTATGATACGGACTTAAATGTGTCTCCTATAAAAAAAAAATCACTAATAGTTATATCGTAGACAAGGGTGCATGTTGCTACATGCAGCCAAACACATCCATATTTTTGTCCTTATATATAGAAATAGAGGAAATTACCATTTTGTCCCTCAATTGTTTTCCAACTATTAATGTAGTCTCTAGTTTTCAATTTCAACTATTTGATCCTCGAATTGTTTAAAATTTCATCAAGTAAACCCTTCGAGGATAAATTTGATGAAATTTTAAAGATGGGGAAATCACTATTTTGATCTCTCGAAAGGGTTTAATTGACAAAATTTTGAACAATTCGATGATCAAATTAGTTGAAATATAATTGAAAACTAGGGACTACATTGACAGTCCAGAAACAATTGAAGGTGATTTTTCCTAGAATACATATCATTAAAAGTTCTAATTAATATATTTTAAATGACACATGATGGGGCCATTAGACCCATTTTATTAGAAATTAAAAGTCTTGTTCCAAGCGGGGTATCATTAAAAGTTTTATTTAAGATATTTTAAATGACACATGATGGGGCCATGAGACCCATTTTATTATAAATTAAAAGTCTTGTTTCAAATGGGGTGTGATGAAGGAAGGAGGTGGCCCAAAAAGTACACAAGAAGGGGCTTGGAGTAAATTGGATAAAACTTACCACAAGCAAGAATCAAACATAGGATATCTCTTTAAGCACGCGCAACCCTGCCCACAAGGCAACACCCTCTCATATTAACTAAAGCATTCCATTTTATATTTATTCAAATGGCAGGCAGGCAGATTCACTAACCCCCCACGACCGGCCACCTCTGGCCACGGCGCTCCCGGCGGGCCTAAGGTGCCCCATGGTGTAGCAACGGGACCCTACCAGAAGGCAAGGGGGCACAGTATTGAAGGCGTATGTTGGGGGGTGGTTGCATGGCGTATGGTGGTGGATGATCGCATAGCGAGTGGTTGCATGGCAAACAGTGGTCGCATGGCGCATGACGTTTGGGGTGTTGGTCGCATGGCTACAAGCTCGTAGGGCATTGGGGTGATGGCAAGCGCCGACCGCTGTCGGCGCGCTAGTGGGGGTGTTAGAGGGCGCGATCGCCGCTCGGGGGCACAAATTGCGCCCCTTAGCACCCTGGCATCGCACCTAGTCGCCCGAGGTGGTGGTTGGTCGTGCTGCCCGGGGTGTCCGGGCGCTTGACGCGCGCTTGGCTTATCTCGGTCGTGCCCCTCGCGGACAGCCGAGGGGTTCGGGCATGTTGCCGCGTGGCATTTGGCGGCTGGAGAATGTGGTTAAGGTGGTTGACGACAAGGGACAACGTGGGATGCGTGTCTGGTTAGAATTCACAGGCTATTGATGGTGTACACATAGGTAGTCTGGGTTGAGCTACTGACAGTATAAAAGGGGTGGGGGAGTGTCTGGTCTGTATAAGACACACATTAAAACACAACTTCTCATTTTGTCTAGTGGTTTGGTCTCCTTCTTCTTGGTGGTACACCTAGGATCGAATTCTTGGTAAATTATTTAGCTTTATTTTGCTTAGGAAAAAGGGTCAAATAAGCCCCTAAACATTATACAAGGAGGCAATTAGGCCCTTAAACTTTTAAAAGTAGCAATTAAACACATCAACTTTTGACTTTTGTGCAATTAGACCCAAAAACAGGATATTTACCTGTAATTGCAGGTAATCTTTTATGTGGCATCCTACATGTCATTTTTATTAATAAAATAATATTTAATTTTAAAATTAAAAAAAATACCCGTCAAACTGTCAAAGGCAGCCATGGCCGGCTGCCATGGCTGCCTTCCTCTTCCTTCTTCGTCTCCAAATCTAGAGACGAAGAAGGGTCCTCTTTCCCTTTCTTCGTCTCCAGATCTGGAGACGAAGAAGGGAAAGATTCACACAAAAAAAAAATATTAAAAAAAAATTTAAAAAAAAAAAAAAAAAAAAACCGAGATGTTGAAAGCAGCCATGGCCGTCGCCCATGGCTGCCTTGTTCTTCTCTCCTTCTTCGTCTCCAAATCTGGAGACGAAGATGGGTTTAAAAAAAAAAAAAAAAAAAAAAAAAAAAAAAAAAAAAAAAAAAAAAAAAACTGAGAGAGTGAAGAGGTTGAAGGCGGCCATGCCCGTGGCTGCCTTCTTCTTCTCTGGCCGCCGGACGGAGCGGCGAACGGCATAGAATGGGCAAATCGTCACCACAAATGTTTATTTATTTATTTATTTATTTATTATTATTATTTTTTTTTTTAATTTTAATAAATACTTTTTTATTATTATTTTTTAAGGTTGCATACGTGGCAAGCTTAAATGATGCTACATAAGAGGTTACCTGCAATTACAGGTAAATATTCAATTTTTGGGTCTAATTGCACCAAAGTCAAAAGTTAATATGTTTAATTGCTACTTTTAAAAGTTCAGGGGCCTAATTGCCTCCTTGTATAATGTTCAGGGGCTTATTTGACCCTTTTCCCTTTTGTTTATTTAGTCCTTTGTTTATTTATTCTTTTGGGCTGCCATTCTTAGGCCAGTCTCTTGGGCTTTGTATTTATTCAATTGGGCTTTACGCCCAAGGCAATAAAGTCACTATTTTCCTACCTCATTCTGTACCTATATACCCAATTTATGGGGACCCGGTCCCCATAAAACCATCAACACATATTGACATATTATAAATTTTTTTTAAATAAATATATAGGTACATAAAGTCATTACTTTAGTATAGTGTTTATGTGTATATACTAAGCTTTGTTTTTATATAAATTTAGAAGAATACTATAAACCAACTTTAAAGTGAATGGAAATACATTTAATTTGATTTACATTTAGTTTAGTGTTTATGAACTTTAATGTTTAGATTTATGGACATACAGAACAAATATTATGAACGTATATAGTACGTGATGCATCTCTTCTCTGTATTGAATGTTTATGTATGTTAAGCTTTGTTTTTAGTTTTTATAAACATATATAAGGAATATTATGAACTTACTATATAATAAATGGAAATACATATGATGTATATTTATATAGTTCAGTGTTTATTGACATTAAGATTTAAATTTATGGACATATAAAACAACTGTTATGAATATAGCAATAGATTAATGTTATTAAACATTATGTGTCTGTAATTAATAAACATTATATTGTTTTTATGAACATATATAAAGAACTTTATAAACCTACTATGCAATGAATAGAATTACATATGATGTACATTTAGTTTAGTGTTTATGAATATTAAGGTATAGGTTTATGGACATATATAAAAAACATTATTAACATAGTACGTATAGAATGATATTATTAAATATGATACACTAGTTGACACTTAATATAAAATGATTGTGTTGTGATGCAGGGTCCATGATGCAAGGTGTACCCTAGTCCACGATGTAATATGCCAAAATTCACATTCACATAATAATCAAATAAAAAAATTAATACAATAACACATCTGACAATAAATATATATTATGGGGTCGGCAATTCAACCTTTTGGGAAGTATGAATATATATTATGGAGTAATTTTAGTATCTCTACAACAAATTGAGTTATTTGGGTCTCTACTGCTCCAGACGGAGTTAATACCATCTGAGGTCCTCCAAGTATAGTGGTTTTGCCACGTTCAGTCCTAAACTTTCAAATTAACCATCTGTGGTCCTTCGACTTTCAAATTTAACCATTTGTGGTCCAAGTTAACCACTTGTGGTCCTTCAACTATTAAATTTTAACCAACCATGGTCCTTTCAAGAGGACCACAACTGGTTAAATTTCAAAACTTGAAGGACTATGAGTGGTTAACATGGACCACGAATGGTTAAACTTGAAAGTCGAAGGACTACAAATGGTCAATTTGAAAGTTTAGGACTAAACGTGGCAAACCCATTATACTCGGAGGACTTCAAATGGTATTAACTCGCTCCAGGCGTGTATGGTATATCTTTACGAGTCATTACTAGCTTGACGGGTAATTTTTTGTTCTTTTGGACAATGGCGTCTTTACTGATTTGCTAGTTTTGTAAAGACGCCAATTGTACCTAATTTTTAATGTCTATATTTAAAAGTAATGATGCCTATTGTTTTTTTAAGAGTTAATGCCACATGAGGTCCTCCGAGTATAGTGGTTTTGCCACGTTTAGTCCTAAACTTTCAAATTGATCATTTGTGGTCCTTCGACTTTCCAATTTAACCATTCGTGGTCCAAGTTAACCACCCATGGTCCTTCAACTTTTAAAATTTAACCACTCGTGGTCCTCTTGAAAGGACTATAGTTGGTTAAATTTCGAAAGTTGGAGGACCATGAGTGGTTAACTTGGACCACGAATGGTTAAATTTGAAAGTCGAAGGATCACAAATGGTCAATTTGAAAGTTTAGGACTAAACGTGGCAAAACCACTATACTCGGAGGACCTCAGATGGTAATAACTCTTTTTTTAATTAC